AGCCCCCCCCGCCCGTGCCCCCCCCGCCACGACCCCGCCGGGAGGCCAGGAGCTTCAAAATAACGAAGAAAAAATAACCCAGCCGGTTGAGTCGCATTGCAAAGCCTCACCTTGCCCGGAAAATCCAGCGGTTGCCGAAGGCTGCCGGGAGCGGGAGCAGGAGCGGGATGGCTGCCGGCACACCGGTCCCAGGCACCTGCTTGGGTTCAAACCCGGCACCAAGCTCCGGCCCCGCCTCGGCCAGCCACCCCGGCAATCATTTACCAGCAGCCAACGCGTGGCACGCTACCGCCAAAAAGCTGGGAGCGGCGGCGGCCAGCTTCTCTCCCAATATGGGGGGAAACTCCCCAAAAAGCAGCCAGCATATCCCTCTCCGCTGCATCTCTCCCTGCCACATTCCCCAGCACCCCAAAATCCAACTGGTTTTATTATTATTTTCTTGAATCCTTGCAAGCGCAGGGGGTCCCTGTTAATTGATTGCTTGCCGTAACCCCTGGGGTTTTGGGGGGGTCACCGTCCTCGGCTCGCTGCCAGACATAGTATGTTATCCACCCCCTTGCAAAGGAGGGTGGTAAATATGGCTGAGGGCTGCTCCCTCCTCACCCCTTCCCAGAGCAGGATCAGCTCCCCCGTCCTACCCAAAACCAGCCCAGCTGCTCCTCTTCCCCAAAGCCCTGGGATCACAGAGGAGCTGTGAGGATGAAGGCAGCTCATCCTCATCTGGGGGGGGACCAGAGATGCTCCTCAGACCCCCCAGTCTCTACTCGGGGGGGACACCACAAGCCACACACAGTGTCTTGTCCCCAATGTGCCAGCATCACCCTGGTTCAAAAAAAAAAAAACCCCACCACCCTGAAAGCCACCAGGCAATAAACCCCAAAACCCCCACCTCGCCCCCAATATCACCTCTGCTGTAGCCGCCCCAGCTCTTTACCATCACTCCTAAAAAATAAGCAGCTGGGGGGTGGTCCTGTTGCTCTGCTGGCAAATGTGACCCCTCTCTCCCCAAGCTTTGCTGCCGACTCCTTGCTTTAATTAGCGGGTGCCTTCATTACACCACCAGGGAGCAAAAGGGCTTTTTTTTTGGGGGGGGGCGAGCATTGCTTTTCTTGGGGAAGCAGCACTTCTCTGCAGCAGGCTGGTTTCCAGCTGCCTCTGTTTCTATTCGCCCGAGGAGGTCACTTTGATCGTGAACCAGAAGTGCAGGCAGCTGCCGTGCCCTGCCAAAAGCCGCTCTCGTTTTATTCTTATTCTTCCCCCCCCCCGCTGTGGATTTCTAAATAATTTTTATTGGAAGCAGATTAACAAAGTGACTAATTTTCTGCTCTCTTCCCCATGTGATGGGTCCTAAAATTGAGGATAGGGATGATTCATACCACGACTTCAACAAATTTCCTAGCTGGGAGTTGGAATTTCAAATGCTGACACTAAAAAAAAATTTTTTTTTTTTTTTTTTTTTAAAAATTAACAATCTCAGATCTTGCAGCTTTATTTTGTTTCCTGGCACTGCCGTCTCCCAGCCTCCCTGAATCTGTCGGGCTAAAGGGAGCGGGGATGAAGGAGCATTTCTGCACGTGCAGGAGGATGCACGTTTCACACTGCTTCTGCAAACCACCATCCTGATGGCTGCCGGGACTCGCAAGGGTCCGGTGATCTCCCTGGGCCTGAAATAATACATGGCCAGCCATGAAAATGGGCCAGCCACACTCCTTAAAGAAGCAAGGACCGCCACCGATTTGCAGGACCACTCCCTGTCCCTCACAGGCACTCTCAGAAGCTGAGACAGCACTGTCCAGCCAAGGACTGCAAACACTTTGCAAGTGCCTTTCTCCCACATTTTGCCACACACAAGAAAAAAAAAAAAAAATCCAGTTAGGAAAAACCCCACTAATTTTGCACCCAACAGTGAGGCCAGCTGCAACCCAAATCCCAAAGCATCCCCAAACACCTCCCAGCTGCATCCCAAACACTTCTACCAGAGCTCCTAAGCAGCACCATCTGGGACCAGCATGAAGGTTTTGAGCCAAGCATGACACAAGCACCAAGGTTTCACCCATTTTCAGGGGTTCACTTGCCTCCCTCACTATGTCCACCCCCTGGCAGAGAGCTGGGTACAGGGCCAAGCAGGCAGGAGAGCAGTGGCGCCAGGAGAGCTTCCCAGCAAGCCTAATTAAATCTGCAAAAAGCCAGAAGACTAACCTTTTGGGTCAGGGTTTGGGCTCGGGGTAGGGTTATAAAGACTCATAATTAGTAAGTAAAGACATACTTGTGCTTGAGAACAGGCTGTGATGAGCCCACCATCCAAGGAGGACCAAGGTGTCCATAGGGACCAGCAGCTCTGCATCCCTTTGGATGCGCTCTGGGCAGATGCTGGCGTACTCTTGGTCATTTTATTCCTGCTTTGAACCTGACCCCCTCACTCCTCTCCTGCCTGATACCGGGGGAGATGATCATCCTAGCTATGTGCAGACACACAAGTGAAAAAAAAAAAACCAAACCAAAACCACCCAATACATGAGTAAACAGCAAGCAGGGAAAGGAGGAGTGGCCCCGTGCCGCCATCCTGGCATGCCGGCACGCTGGCAGGCTGGCCGTGACTCACCGCCCTGATCAGCTGCTGTGGTGACGCATCCAGCAGCTATTTAGTGCTTCCTGAGGTCCCTCCCTGCCCCAAGCACCGGGTCCAGCTCCTGGGCACCAAAGGGAAGAGGTGGTGCTTGGCCACGTGCCGAAACCGTCTGGTGGGACAGAAGCTTCCCTGTTACTCAGGTGTGGAGAGGTGACCCAACACGGGGCACGGAAGCCGGCACTCATCCTGCAGCAGGTTGGAGAAGATGGACCACGGTCCAGGCTACCCTCCAGCCCATCGACAGTGTCCTCCTGCCTCAGGTCCCTCTTCTGGAGCGGCACCACCTGCCCTCGCCTGGGGTGTTGCAGGGATAGAGCAGCTCTGCTGGGCTTCCCATGCCATGTCCATCCTAGGCCAGAAGGTGATGCCGTGGTCAAAGGTTGAGGCCGTGGCCAAGGGTCGATGCCACTGGCATGTCCCATGCTGGGTGGGGATGATCATCCATGGCTCTGAATGAGTTGTCTGTGCAGCAGACTCTGGCAACCACCAGTGGTCACTGCCAGGGAGCTCCTGGCGAAGCCCTGCCTGCAGCCATGCAGTGCAGGACCTCTGCACGGTGCCATGTTCGTCCTGAGGATGCTGGCCCTGGGATCCTGAAGGGACACCATCTCCTGACCTGGTGCGAAGCAGCCAAATGGGCCACCTACCAAAGAGGTCACCATCCTCTCCTGCAGCATGGGGGCCATCCTGGTGCGTGCAGGACACAGGCGCAGGGTTCCAGCCTGG